CGGAACGAACGGCCCTGGTTGCCCTCCCCGAGAGCCCAGCAGTCGCGGGGTCAGTGCTCGCAGTGGGGTGTTCTTCTTGCCCCCGCCTGGCTCTGCTCCCCGGGCGCATGGTGGTTTGCAGAGGCAACTGTGGGGTCTTGTCTGCTTCTTCTCTTGCCCTGTGCCGGGGGCAGGACACGTAGCACCTGCCAGAGGTGGAGGTGACCTGCATGCACGTGTGAGCACGGGTGGGCATCTGGGGGCGTCTGGTTGCCTATCCCTAGCCAGTCTCTTCTCTCTACCTACAGGCTCTACCTGGGAAATCCCATGGACCCTCCTGACATTTTAGGTGTGGAATTGACTGCTGCCAGACCCACCCAACTCCCTGGAAGAGCTAAAAGTAAGTGGTGTTTCCCTTAAACCCCCTGTGTGCAGACCGCTAGCTACCCTGGGCTGTGCTGAGCCCAGTCTCCCTGCACCAGGAGCTGTGCCCTGCCACCCAGGTGAGGGGCAGGACTAGCAAGCACCAGTGTCATGTGTCTCCTCTCTGCTCTGTCTCTTGCTGCCACTTGCTTTTCAGAGACCTGGGGGCACAGGCTTTTGGTGGGGCTGGGGTGAGCAGGTGCCCTCAGGACGGGCTGTGCTGTCACCGAGCCCAGCAGCAGCTCCCAACTTGGGCAACTCACAGCTAGGCTTCAGCTTCCACCTTGTTGTCACCCGCAATGACAATGAGTCACTCATCCCCTCCAAGCCTCCCTGGTGAGGTGGGAGGGGGCCTGTCACAGGGGTCTTCACCTGACCATCGCGGTCAGAGCCATGGTGTCCCGGGAAGGACAAGGAGTTGTGACACCGTGGACGTGCTTCCTGTCCCCAAACCTGCAAACCAGGGAGATGCCACCGGCATCTGCCCATGCCCGTGTTTCCCCCCAACCCCCCGCAGCTGAGGCCGGTGGCGGGGGCGACGCTCGTGCCAAGCACCCTGGCTCCCCGCTTGTTTCCTTCACTGACGCCGCGTCTCTCCTCCTCTCGGGCTCTCTCTTTCCCGCAGGGCAGCCGCCTCCGCGCCCGCCTCAGCCTGCCATCCTGCTTACGAGTAAGTGGGGCTGTTCTGGGAGCCGCCAGCGCTGCTCGTGCCCCCTCTGTTCTCTCTTAGCTCCTTTCTTCCAAGGTACTCGGGGTGTGCTGTGCGCTTCTTGCCCGGGGTGCCCGCTGCCCCTCTGCTGGCCCCACACGGGAGATGTGGCCGGGTCCCCGGCAGGGGATGGCAGGGCCCTGCTGCCCTGGGGGACGTGCACGCTGCCTCGTGACACCTCTTCTGAATCCAGGGCACGGCCCAAGCAATGTGGCCCCCATCATGTCCAGCCTCAGGAAGATGGTGCCACCTTTGCTGCGTGCCCCCCAGGCATCTCCAGGCTCTTGCCCCTCAGACATCTCCCGTGGAGGGACCAGCGGGGACTAACTGCTCTGAGGTGTTAAATCAGTGGCACTACTAACCCCAGTGCCACGTGGCACTGAGCCGCCCCCCCGTCCTGGGCACAACTGTGGCATGGGCATGCGCCGGGGGCGAGGGGACAACGATGGCTGTGTGTGATGTAGTGATGGGCTAAGTGCAACCCGTCTTCCCCGAGCCATAGCGTGGAAGAGGGAAGGTCCTGCCCCAGGAGCGGCAGGGCAGGACTGTGACAGCCCTGTGGCCAAGGGGCTGAAATGGAAATGGAGTGAGAGGTTGCTCAGGCTGACGTGTTGTGGGATTGGGTGAGTTTTCTGGACATTGTAGTCTTGCTTTAAGAAAGATCGCAGTTGGGGTCTTGGAGTTGGAGATGTTCTCCTACACCTGTTACGTTCCCTGGGATCTCCAGAGACAACCACCACTCTCCTGCCACCCCAAGGGGATGCTCAGGGCTTTTGGGATCTGATGGCATCCTCACTGTCCTCTCTGCCCCATCCTAGAGCCCTCCTACGACCCGGTCAGTGAGGAGGACGACGGGCTCTCCGCAGGCCTCCGGAAGCTCTGCCTGAAGAAGCCGGGCCCAGGGAAGGGCCTGCGGCTGGCAAAGCCCTCGGCCCGAGTGTCGGGCACCAAGGTTGGCGACCGGCAGCCCGGGCAGGTGCCGAGCGAGGGCCCGCCGGGCGGCGAGGTGACACTCATCGACTTTGGGGAGGAGGTGCCCTCGCCGAGCCCGTCGCCTGTCGGGGAGCTCCCGCCCGCCTTGGTCTCCAAGCTGGTCATGGAGGCCTGTTCACTGCTGGACAAGACGCCCCCGCAGAGCCCCACGCGGGCGCTGCCCCGGCCCCTGCACCCCACGCCTGTGGTGGATTGGGACGCCCGGCCCTTGCCGCCGCCGCCGGCCTACGACTACGTGGCGCAGGACGAGGACGACTTTGAGGTGTGCTCCATCAACAGCCCCCCGGGGCGGCGGGGCATCCGTGCGGGACTGCCCAAAGCCCGGGAGCGCGGCGAGACCAACTACGGCTTCGTGGATGAGGGCGACAGGGCTGCGGCACTGGAGGACAACCTCTTCCTGCCCCCCAAGGAGGCCAAGCAGCCCAGCCTGACACAGACCACTGAGATCTTCGAGGAGCTGCAGCAGGAGTGCATGAAGAGCCATGGCTCTGCAGGTGGGCTCCCCGCAGCAGCGCGCCACGCTCTGCTCCTACCTCTCCACCTCGCCGGGGAAGCCCATGCCCACCACGCAGAGCTTTGCCCTCGACCCCAAATACGCCACCCCGAAGGTCATCCAGGCGCAGGGGAAGGACTGCCCCAAGGGGCCCTGTATCCTGCCCATCGTGAAGGATGGGCAGAAGGTCAGCAGCACCCATTACTACCTGCTGCCCGAGCGCCCTGCCTACCTGGACAAGTATGAGAAATTTTTCAAGGAGGCCAAAAGCCCCGAAGAGGTATCGGCTTCCCGTGTGGTAACCACAGCCACCGTCCGGCCCATGGTGCAGCAGCAGCCCGACTACAAAGCCAACTTCTCCTCCAACAACAGCAATGCTGGTCCCAAGTGTCTGGTGAAGGCTTCCTGCAGCCTCCAGAAGATCGTCTATGATGGGCCGGATGGCTACCGCCCCCCTGAGAAGATCCGACTGGTAAGTGGCTTTCCGGAGGCTCTGCGGGTCATATGGGGTGGGATGGCTTTTGTCCCGGTGGCACGAGTCCACAGCCATGCCTGTGCCACGGGCTCACTGCACCACCTGGGCTGGAGCTCTCCCCACCATGTCCCTCAGCTTATCCACATCCAAACCCAAGGGGCACTGGCTACAAGGGCTCTTCAAAGACACCACAGTGCAGAAATGTCTTTGCAGTGCTCAAGTGGGGATCGAGGACCCTTTTAACCTGCGCTAGCCCTGCCCCAGGGCAGGCTGTGGGCCACGGCCCCAGCTCCAGGCTGACCACCATGGCCAGGCGTAGAGTGGTGGCTCTGTTTCCTTTGGGCTTGGAGGGCGAACAGTGCTGGGTGTGTTCCAGATGAGGAGTTCGTACCTAAGTGCAGGGGATGATGAGGGCAGAGGGCACCTCCAGCTTGGCTGGGGGGAGGACAAGAGCTTGCCCCTGCCGCAGGCAGGATGGGCACATCAGGATGTGTCAGACGGCTGGCAGCCAAGGGTTTGGGTGGAGGATCTGTGCACCCCAAAAGCTCATGGTGCCACGAAGGGATTGCTCTCAGACAGGAGCAAGGAAGAGGCAGAAATCCCATGGGATTCCAGAGCGCATGGCCCAAACACCAGCCCCCAGCCAGGTCCAGCCCCTCCTAGCTGGCAGCGCCTCACGGGGCCAGAGGCATGGGGGTCCCCAGGGTCCTGTGCTGATCCCCTGCTCTAGCTGTGGGGGTGGTGGCACAGTGGGTGCCCTGGCAGCACGCAGGCAATGGCCCAAGGTGACAGTGACTTTTTGCAGGTGCAGGACATGGTGCACGGCGTGACCACGGAGGAGTGCCTGACGGCGCTGCAGAGCCATGGCTGGAACGTGCAGCGCGCCATCCAGTACCTGAAGGTACCTGCTGCCCCGGCGCGGGCCCGGCCGCTGCTGCTGGCCGCGGCCTCTTGCCCATGCTCTGCCCTGTCCCCTTGCAGGTGGAGCAGCTCTTTTGCCTGGGGCTGAAGTCCCGTGTTGAGTGCCACCGGGTGCTGGAGATGTTCGACTGGAACCTGGCACAAGCCAGCTCCCACCTCCTGGATCCCTGCAGCGCATCCCGGCAGAAGTAGGTGCCCAGACCCAGGAGGTGCCGGGAGGGAGGCAAATCTTTTGGGGAGGGCCCCCCGTCCCATGCTGGCCTTGAGCCGCTCTTGGGCAACTTCTACAGAGCTCTCATCCTCTCCTCCCCTTGCAGGCGGTGACAGCGGGACCTGGGTGAGCTACGTCGGATCTGGAGTAGGCATCTCGCCATGGAACCACCGCGCGCTGTGGCCACCCCTATCCACACAACCTGCTGCTGGACTCTAGCCTGAGCCCTGCCTGGGGGACAGAGGTGCCCTGAAGTGGAGCCTGCCAAGGGCTTGGGACTTGCCATGCCCCCCATGCCAGGGTGCCCCTGCCCTGGCTTTGAAGATGGTCTCCGTCCCCCAGCCCATTGTTGAATTGTTTTTGTAAAGAGAAATGTAATTTTAATATATATATATATTATATATATATATATAAAAATATATAAAAATATTTTATGGAGAGCAGGAAGGTGCCTGTGCCCGTCTACCGGGTTCGTCCCTGTCGGCACACGCGAATCGGAGGGTCCCTGTGTCCCTGCATCCCACAGTGCCCGGCCAGCACAGACCATGCGCCAGCTCCTCTGTGCATGCAGCCAGGGCCATCCTCCCGTGCCTTGGGCCTTCCTGCTTCGCACGAGGATGCGTGCCTGTGGGGCCTGGCAGAGGGATGCACGCACCAGAACAGCAGCTTTTCCCAGGCTCAAGCCCTGGTCTCGTCATCAGGTACCTGCATCCCTCAGCCCCCTGCACAGAGCAGTCTTCTCGCACCCTGTGGCTTAGGGGCTGCCCCCCGGGGTTGGCAGCAGGACATGGGCACACATGGAGGGTGGCTCCTGGGGGTATAACCACAAG